CAAAAAAAACCCCGCCAGACTCCCCGCCTCTCTCCCCCCCCCCCCCCCCCCCCCCCCCCCCAGGTGTCTGTGAGAATCGAAAAATTTTATTTTGAGCCATTTGAGAATTATGTCATCCATTCAATCTAAAACCAACTTCTAATTCGCGCTGTATAGAAATTTTCGAAAAAAAGGGAGTAGAGAAAAAGGTCTTATGCGAACTGATCCTTTGATTTTTCAGTCAGTTATGCCATATTATCCTTAATAAATGTACGCCAGCTACCTAATGGTGTAATATCGACAGCATTATGTATTGCATAGGATTCGCAGACAGATCATGGTATTTGACTTCCATGTTTTAAAATGACTTTACCAATACTTAATGGTGATGGAATTTGTGCTGTAAATGCACCAAATGATGATAATGGCATTTCCCATACTTCAACTTTTATCGATGTGCCTTCATCAATATTTTTTGTAGTTCGTACTAAGGCTGGCTTTGATGGTATTGTTGATAATTGATATAGTTTATAAAAAGGTGCTGTTTCATCTTCACGAATAAATTTACTTCTATATTCAAGCATTTGCTTTTCAAGTGATAAACCACGCATATGTAAACCACATACAACAACAAATGTTGTAATTTATTGTTGTGTTTTTGTCGTCATTGTTTGATATTTTAAAAACAAATCAGCTAAATTCGATATAAGATGTTTATTATTATATTTCGAAAATAATGTTATACCAAATGGTACATCATCGGTAGCATCATCGGATGATATGACAATGGTACATAAATCTAATAAATTACAATGATTTGTATAACGTCCCATATCATTATTTGTTTGAATAGGATTTTGTCGTACTTGTTCACGTATCCATGTACCACCCGATGAGGCATAATGAGAGCAGCATTTTCTAATTGTTGATGTGTTCGACATTTTAATTTTTGTAATTGATGTATAGTTTTAAATAGGAACGAAGCAGTATAATTCCGATTTGTACCTGAGCGTAAAATATTTTCTGTTATAGGAAAAATTGCATTCGGTTGTTGATGATTAACAAATTCATCTAAATCTGACCAACGTTCGACTATCCAAGGACCACCATATAACATCGATGCTGCTTCAGCGAAATCGTGTTCGTCGATATATTCAATAGGTATATTTAAGTGCTGAATACGTTTAATTGTTTTCTGCCAAGCTAGTTGATACTTAGTAGTATAGGGGCCGAAAAATTCAATTGATGAATCACTTATCAAACAAATTTTATTCGGTAATATTGACATTGATGATAATTGACGTGGAATATCACGTGACCATGGGTCTGTTTTATCTATTCCACGTACAATTGTATCAATCAATATAGCATCATCAAGTTCATGTGTAAATAATGTTACACAATCTAAACTTTGACAAGCCGGTACCACACCTTTGGTTGGCCAAGCACCGAATGATGGTTTTAAACCAATTAAGCGATTCAATCCGGCCGGTACACGTCCGGAGCCAGCCATATCTGTGCCTAATGAAAATACAGCATGACCACGTGCAACAGACACAGCCGAACCAGAACTCGATCTACCACTAATTAATTCTGGTTTCAAAGCATTATGTGTTTCACCATAAGGGCTTCGAGTACCAACAAGTCCGGTGG